TGTGTGTGTGTGTGTGTTTTACCCGCCTATGCTGGAGCAGGGGCTGGCACTTTATTTTTTATTTTTTAAAGCCCTGTTGCCGCGTCCGCCATAGAGCGGGACACATCGGGGCTTCGGGGGCAGCTTTTGGAAAGCTGCGCCATACAGCTGGTCGCGTCGGAGCTTTGGGGGCGGCTTTCGAAAAGCCGCACCGGGACTTTGGTGCGGCTTTCCGAAAGCCAGCCCCGATGCGTCCCGCTCTATGGTGGATGCGACGGCCATAGAGTGGGACACGGGGCGGGGGTGGCTTTCAAAAAGCCGCACCAAAGTCCCGGCGCAGCTTTCCGAAAGCCCCGCCGAAGCGCCGGCAGACATAGGGCAGCTTTTGCCCGTTTGCCTCACCGGCCATAAACCTCACCACACGTCACTGTTTCCATCCATTGTTTCTTGTCCTGCCTTCAGATGCTTTGGAGAATAGCTTGACTCCCTCTTCTTTGGGGCAGCCCCTGAAATATTGGAACTCTGCTATCCTGTCTCCCCTAGTTCTTGTTTTCATTAAACTAGACATGCCCAGTTCCTGCAACCATTCTTCATTTGTTTCAGCCTCCAGTCCCCTAATCATCTTTGTTGCTCTTCTCTGCCCTCTTTCTAGAGTCTCCACATCTTTTTTGTATCGTGGCAACCAAAACTGGACGCCGTATTACAAGGGTAGCCTCAACAAGGCCTTATAAAGTGGTATTAACCCTTCACGAGATCTTGATTCTATCCCTCTGTTTATGCAGCCTAGGATTGCATTGGTCCTTGTGGCTGAAACCACACACTATTGGCTCCTATTTAAATGATTGTCCACGAGGACTCCAAGGTCCCTCTCACAGTTACCGCTATTGAGCCAGGTACCACCTGTTCTGTACCTGTGCATTTGGTTTTCCTGGCCCAAACATAGAACCTTACTTTTGCTGCATTTGCACTTATTGCAGCAATTCTCCCACGCGTAAAGGAACATAATGATTTTTCCCTACTCCTTTGAGGAAAGCATCTTGCATTGAGTAGCACATTTAAATTCTCCTTTTCAGCTTCTAAGAGTTGCTTTTAAGAATTAAATGTCAAGCACTTTGCTCAGGATAGATCTTCATCCCTGCAGGCTTCCATTTCCATCTGTTTCAACTAAATAAATGTTCTGTACAATCTTGACCTATTATTCATCACTCTTCCCATTCAGGTAGTCCTCAACTTACGACCAGGTGCTTAGCAGCCATTTGAAGTTACAACAGATCCCAAAACAACCTACTTACAACCCACATTAAAAGTTCTGTTCTGGACTGGACCCGGCGTGTAACCACACCAGGGGCCAGTCAGCTTCAACTTCACGCTTTAGAATTAATGTCTCTCAAATCAATTTATTAACATTGATGAAGCGGTCATACATCACTTTTCCCGGGCAGGGCACCCTGCTGCCCAATCAAGGAACACAGATGTGGTCACATGTTATAGAACTACATTTCCTACAAGGCAGTTCTGCCTACATTTCCCATGAGGTAGTTTCTTAAAGGAGACAGCTCTTAATTCCTACATTAGCTATATAGTGTTGGGACAGTTACAATGAAAACTCCTTGGTCACGTTTTGGGCATTTGGCACTCATTGCAGCCATTTGCAACATCCTGCAGTCACGTAATGATAATTTATGACATTTTTGCTGGAAACTGACATTTAGGTAGTCCTCAACTTACAAAAGTTTATTTAGTGACTGCTCAAAGTTAAACGGCACTGAAAAAAAGGACTTGGGGTACTTTTTCACACTTATGACCGTTGCAGCATCCCCCTGATGACCTCATCAGAATTCAGACAACTGGCAACTGACTCACACCTCTGTCGGTATTCCAGGATCACGCAATCCCCTTTTGTGACCTTCTGACAAAGTCAGTGGGGAAGTTGGATTCATTTAACAACCATTTTACTAACTTAACAGCGGCAGTGATTCAACCATGGCAAGAAAGGTCATGAAATGGACAAAACTCACTGAACAAATATCTCCCTTAGCAAGATATATTTGGGGCTCTTTGGTGGTCATAAATCGAGGATTACCTATACTTGAAATTTCCTGGAAAAAATGCCCCATAACAAACAGCACCTTTGCTTAATGACTGCTGTGTTTGCTTTAGATCACCACAAAAATGGTTGTAAAATGAGGAGTGGTGAGTGGCACAGTGACCAACTTTATAACTGTCATGACTTACCATTGAAATTGTGGTCTTAAGGTGAGGACTACATATGAGGTGACTAGACTGTTTTCCTTTTTTCCCCATCTGCATTTTTGTCGTTGCCTTTATTTTTTTCATTTCCTTTTCTCCTATTAGTTTCTTCTCATTTTTAATTGGGGTGAAGTGAACAGCAGATAAATCTAATTAAAAGGATCACGTTTAAAATAAAGTTATTTATAATGAAGTTTTTATGGAGCCACTTAATAGAAAGGTGGGCATTATACAGATTTAATATACTCTCTTTTTACAACCCTGTAATCCCTTAATTTGGGGTGTAAATAAATTCAGGGCAATAAATAAATAAATTCGGGAAATAATTTAATAAATAGATAAATTTTCTAATTACTAAATAGGTGTGTTTGTGTGTATGTGTGTGTGTGTGTGTGTCCATATCCAACTTAAAACAGTTCATTTAGTGACTACAAAGTTACAACAGCACTGAAAACAATGACTTAGAAGGACCGTTTTCCACACTTAACGACCCTTGCGGCATCCCTGTGGTCACGTGATCAAAATCCAGATGCTTGACAACTGACTCGCACTTATGATGGTTGTAGTGTCCTGTGGTCACATGATCTCCTTTTGTGACTTGACAAGCCAGATTCACTTAACAACTCTATGACTAAAATAGCAAGTGCAATGATTGAAAGGTTGTAAAAATGGGTCAAAATTCACTTAACAAGTGTCTCGCTTAGCAACAGAAATACCGGGCTCAATTGTGCTTGTAATTTGAGGGCTACCTTCTATTTATAGGATGACATTTGTTCATTTAGCTGGCCTGGAAATTTTAATTCCCTTTCCTTCCAGACTGTGACTGGGTGCGCCTAAGCCAACCCTCGAGATAAAGTGGTGTTAAATGATTGTCTGGTTGTTCCTCCCTAGGAAGAACCTCTCTTTGACCACTGCTCTCCATGAAATGCCAAAGAGGAAAGAGAACCAAATTGTCCCACTCCTTGCTCCGGCTCTGGAAATAAACCCCCCTGCTGGGAATAGCCGATGTGCTGCCGATCTGCCTCTCAAGCATTCTAGTCCTCAAAAACCCCAAACGGCAAAGGAGATTTGAGCCCTTCCTCGCGCGAGCCCAATGGGACGATTTTCCAGCAAGGTCTGGAATTGGACCTCTGTCTTCTACCCACTTCGCCATTCCTGACTTTTTTTTTTTTTTTTTGCTCTCCTCCCTGACCCCTCCCTTTTATTTAAAAAAAAAGAAAAGAAAGAAAGATCTTACTGGCAAACCCAGTCCAGTTTCTTCATAAGGACTAGTCTCCTTCCATCTGTCCTCGCCTGAATGGACAGGGAGACTTTTGCGTGTACCACCAAGTTTTTCCATGACTACAGCGGCCCCACTCGGGGCGCCGCCTGCCAGCCTCACAACCATGTGGACTACATCGAGAAGCCAGAGACTTTCACCTATGCGGATTTTTTCAAGGATTACTTGATCCCCAATGATCCTTGCATCTTCTCCGCCAAGTTCACGGAAGGCTGGGCCAGCCGGAGGAAGTGGGTCACTCCGGACGGGAAACCCAATTTGGATTATCTCCTGCGGACATTTGGTAAGCTGAACTTTCCGTTGAACTGGCCGTAATCTTGCTTTTTTTGCCGAGGTGGCAGCAGCGGTGCGGTTCTTGATTTGGCCCCAGGCCCCGCCCACATGGTGGAAAATCTGGGGCTGACTTGGAAGATGTTCCAGCAATTTCAGGGCAGTCCTAAAATTAGAAGCAAACCCCCTCCTCCTGTCCAGGAGAGTGAACAGCTAGGGATATAGTTAGGATAGCAGCATTTGCCAAGCCTTAGACACTTTTAAGATGTGGGTGGGGACTTCAACTCCCAGAATCACTGGCAGGAGAATACTGGGAAGTAAAGTCCCTCTCTTCTCCCTCTCCCCTTTTCTCCCTTTCTCCTCTCCTCTGTCCTCTCCCCCCTCTTTTCCTTCCTCTCTTCTCTTTCCTCTCTTCCTCATCTCTTCCTCTCTTTTCCCTTTCTCCCTCTCTTCTCCCTTTCTCCTCTCCATCCCTCTCTTCTTCCTCCCTCTCCTCTATCCTCCCCTTTTCCTTCCTCTCTTCTCTTTCCTCTTCCCTTTCCTCTCTTCCTCATCTCTTCCTCCATCTCCTCCATCTCTTTCTTCCTCTCTCCTCTTTTCCCTTTCTCCCTCTCTTCTCCCTTTCTCCTCTCCATCCCCCTCTTCTTCCTCCCTCTCCTCTCTATCCTCCCCTTTTCCTTCCTCTCTTCTTTCCTCTTCCCTTTTCTCTCTTCCTCATCTCTTCCTCCATCTCCTCCATCTCTTTCTTCCTCTCTCTTTTCCCTTTCTCCCTCTCTTCTCCCTTTCTCCTCTCCATCCCTCTCTTCTTCCTCCCTCTCCTCTGTCCTCCCCTTTTCCTTCCTCTCTTCACTTTCCTCTTCCCTTTTCTCTCTTCCTTGTCTCTTCCTCCATCTCCTCCATCTCTTTCTTCCTCTCTCTTTTCCCTTTCTCCCTCTCTTCTCCCTTTCTCCTCTCCACCCCCCTCTTCTTCCTCCCTCTCCTCTATCCTCCCCTTTTCCTTCCTCTCTTCCCTTTCCTCTCTTCCTCATCTCTTCCTCCATCTCCTCCATCTCTTTCTTCCTCTCTCCTCTTTTCCCTTTCTCCCTTTCTTCTCCCTTTCTCCTCTCCATCCCTCTCTTCTTCCTCTCTCTCCTCTATCCTCCCCTTTTCCTTCCTCTCTTCCCTTTCCTCTTCCCTTTTCTCTCTTCCTTGTCTCTTCCTCCATCTCCTCCCTCTCTTTCTTTCTCTCTCCTCCCTCTCTCCTCTCCATCCCTCTCTACTCCCCTCCTCCCTCTCCTCTCTTTTTCCTCTCTTCCCCTCCCTTTTTCCCTCTCCCCACTCTCCCTTTCCCCTCACCTCCTCTCCTTTCTTTGTCTCTTCCTCTCCTTCCCTCCTTTACTCTCACCTCTCCTCTCTCTTCCTCCCTCCTTCCCCTCCCCAGCACTCAGAAAAGAACGCCTTTCCAGGTGGCAGTCATGGAAGCCTGCCCCACTGGGGTCCCCCTAGACCAAATCCCTCCACGGTTTGACCCTTCGCTCCCCCTGTCCCCGGAGTGAGGCCAGGAAAAAAATAAGAGTGGGCTGAAAGAGTTTATGTTGCAGGCGAGGCTGTAGTCCCCGTGGCCAACTGCGATGTCAAGGAGTACAATTGTAACCCCAAGGAACAGCTTAAGCTCAAGGAGTACATAAGCTATTGGAAGGAACACATTAGGAAAAGCTATCGCTCGGCCCGCGGCTGCCTTTACCTCAAGGATTGGCACCTGCAAAGGTAAGCCGTGGCTCTCGCCGGAGACTGCCGGCATGCCGCCAAATCCCCTCGGTTGATGGGTTTTTTTGAAAGCTTCACTCAGGTGCTCCTGGCGCCACCTGCCCGGAAAGAACCGTCTTTAATGCGCCCCTCTCGTCAGGAACCCACAGCATGAATTTCCTCCTGAAGCTGCAGGAATCGGATTTAATTTGCACCTCTCCTCATGAACTCACTGCCGTTGTTTTCCCTCCTCCTCCTCCTCAGTGTGTCGAGTGCTGCTATTATTATTATTATTATTATTATTATTATTATTATTATTATTATTATTTTCTGTTTTTCTCCTACAATTTGCACGCCCCTTGAGTTCCACCACGTGTTGTACTGCACAGGCGTGCTTCCTTCTTCCATACCATAGCACCCTTGTTCAGGCAGTCCTCGACTTGCAAGCGACAGTTTAGTGACTGTTCAAAGCAACATGAAAAAAACGACTCACAGCCAGTCCTCACACTTATGACCCATGCAGCTTATCAGGTGGGATCAGCTTGGCACACAGGGCATGGTATTTAAGACAGTTGCAGCATCCTAGGGTTGCACGATCCCAGCCATCTTCTGGCAACATCCCCAAAGTCACTTGATCAAAATTCAGCCACTTGGCGACCGACTCGGACTTATGACTGTTACAGCATCCCAGTGGTTGCATGATCTCCTTTTGCAACCTCCTGGCCAGCAAAGTCAACAGAGAAGCCGGATGCTTAATTAACAACCGTGCTACTAACTTAATAACCACCGTGATTTCCCCTAACAACTGTTATCAGTGGTTGGAAAGGCTGTAAAATGGTGCAAAACTCACTTCATGATTGCCTCGGTTAGCAACAGAAATATTGGGCTGAATTGTGGTCGTAAGTCGAGGACTCCCTGTATCTGTTTGGCTGGATAGTCCTAAATTATTAAACCTTTGTTGTGCTCTGGTTCATCGCAGATTTCAAATGCTGTCCCAATCCTTGTCTCTTTAAGGACGTTTCCGGATCAGGAGGTCTACACCACGCCCATCTATTTCTCCTCCGATTGGTTGAATGAATATTGGGAAGCCATCGCTGTGGATGACTACCGGTTTGTCTACATGGGACCTAAAGGCTCATGGTAGAACCAACTCCTAGTCCTTTTTTTTTTTTTTTTTTTGGGGGGGGGGGGAGGATATGTTTGTTTGTAATTGCTGTGATGATGTCCCATCAAGTTGTGGTTGCCTCTTGGGGAGCCCCTAGATAGGTTTTCTGCAGGATGTCCTCACCCAGCCTGTTCCTTCAAGGCTTCCTCCAATGGTTCCCCCATCAACCCTGTAACTGAGCATCCATGGAGATCCTCAGTCATTCTGGCCAGTGATCTCCACATAGATCTGGTTTACAACTCCCCAAAGGAGATAAACACTAGTTGAATGTTTCTCAACCTCGGCCACTTGGCTTCAAATCTCAGAATTCCCCAACCAGCCTGCCTACCATAGAAGTAGCTTTTCCTACTCCTTCTCTGTCTGCATCTCCATCTTCTCTTCCTCGTTGTCCTCCTTCTTCTATCTTATCCTATTCCATCACCATTGTCTCCTCATTGTCCTTCTCCCTCTCATTGACCATCTCCTCTTTATCTTCTCTTCCATATCTATCTTCTCCCTTCTCCATGTTCTCCTCCTCATTGTCTATCTTCTCCATCGCCATCTTCTTCTCCTCATTGTCCATCTTTTCCTCCTCATCATCTATTTTCTCTTCCTCCAACTCCCATCTTCTCATTCTTCATCATCTCCTCTTTCTCTATCTTCTCCATTTTCCTTCTTCATCTTCTCTTCGTTGTCTATCTTCTCATTCGCCATCTTCAGGATTCGGAGTCCTTCGGGATTGGGCGGCATATGAATATATTTAATAAATATATTTAATAAAATAAAATAAATGCCTCTCTATCTTCTCCTCATTCTCCATCTTCTCTTTGTCTGTCTTCTCCATATCCATCTCCTTCCCGTTTTCTTCTCACTGTCTATCCTCCTCCTCCTCCTCGTCCATCTTCTCCATTTTCTCCCCCTTCTCGTTGTCTTATCTTCTCCCCCCTTCCTCCTCCTTCTTCTGCATCTCTCCTTCCTCCTTTCCTGTCCGTCCCCCTGTCCCCCATTCAGAGCTCAGAAAATTACACTAGATGCCCATTCCCCAACCTCAGCCATTCCCAGCATGCTGGCTGGGGAGTTTTGATGAGTTGAAGTCCACTCATATTCAAATGGCCAAGCTTGAGCTACACTAATCAGAGGTTAATCTACTCCTGAAACATCTAAAGCAAATGTCCAGGCCCTAGTGGGCCCAAAGTAGCCCAGGATATTTCTACTTTGCAGGATCCACAACTCTGCCTTTAGAAGGTGGAATTCAATTCCCCTTTTCTGAGACACCACAGTTAAGTCTCCCTCTTATTCTTATAATATCATAGCCTCCCTCCTCCTTCTTCCTCACCTGCCTGCCTCTTCCCTTTTCTGCCAGGACGCCCTTCCACGCCGACGTCTTCCGCTCTTACAGCTGGTCAGCCAACATCTGCGGCAAAAAGAAATGGCTGGTTTTCCCCCCGGGCCAAGAAGAGTTTCTAAAGGACCGCCACGGCCACCTCCCGTTCGACATCACCGCTCCCGACTTGAAGAACGTCTCCCTGTACCCCCGCTACGCTCAGAGCAGCCCTCCGGTCGAGATCATACAGGAAGCCGGCGAGATAGTCTTCATCCCAAGCGGTTGGCATCATCAGGTTTACAATCTGGTGAGAACCTTCCGAAAACCACGAGCTTTGGGACCCCCACTGCGGATGCTGCTGCGGATGCTGCTGCTGCCAACGTCATTTGATAGGGAGTGTGTCTTTTCCTTCTAGGGCCCCCGAGAGGAAGATGTCGCCCCTGAGCTCCCAAGCCTCAGTCTGCACGCCAAAGATTCTGGGCCTCGTTTCCTTTGATGCAGCATTAAACAATTGTGCCTGCTCAGAGTACCTGGTTCGATTTACCCTGATATAAGCGAAAAGCAAGAGAGCCAGTTTGTGGCTTAGCAAAAAAGGAAATGGAATCATGAGTTCTAGTCCAGCTGGGTGACTTTCGGCCAATCACCAGGAGACAGTGAATTCTAGTTCCATCTTAGGCATGAAAGCCGCTTGGGTGATTTGGGGCCATTCACCAGGAGAGGGAGAGTTCTAGTGCCTCCTTAGACATGAAAGGCAACTGGGTGACTTCGTTCCAACCGTGTCACCCAGGGGTTGGACGAGATGGCGAGTTGCCAAGAACCTTGGCGAGACTTGGTCCAATGTCATCCAGCCAATGTTTAATTGCTAAGGCAGGACTAGAATTCATTGTCTCCTGGTATTTGGCCCAAAGTCACCCTTTTTATGCCAAAGTTTCAGTCCTAAATTTCCAGCTTGATTCCCCAACTCCCCCGTCTTCTTAGAGACCTGACCCACAGTCCGAGTTGAATTCTCTCTTAAACCAACAGCCTAATCCTTTTCTGTGATGAAATATTTGACTATTGATGGGCCGGTGAACAGAATTTTTTATCCTGGAGCCCAAAGGCGTTTTTCCAAGGGGCAACTGGTTTTTCCTTGGGGGCATTTCGATTCTGATGAGAAGCCAAACGTCTTCGAAGAAAAACCAAGAAAGTTCAGTTGCCTCTTGGAAAAGCAGCTTTGGGACAACCTTGACCCAGATGGCTGAGAATCTCCATAGACATCCTGGAATTCAGTCCCTTCGGCTAGGAGGAGACCCAACAGTACCACACACACACACACACACACACACACACCTCCACCTCATCCCCCCCCCCCCGGGTGTCCCCAGGTTGGAGGGATAAATGTTTCCTGTTTCCTACCTCCTCCCAGGAAGACACCATCTCCATCAACCACAACTGGGTGAACGGATGCAACGTGGCCAATATGTGGAGCTTCCTCCAGGACGAACTCGCCGCTGTCCAGCGGGAGATCAAAGAATGGAAAGAGAGCATGGAAGACTGGCACCTGCAATGCCAGGTAAAAAAAAAAACCAAAACACCTGGGAAGTTTCTGCACTTCGCCAGGAATCTTTGCCCCTGGAACACAGGTAGATATTTTTGAGTGAAACCTGAGTAGAACACCGTAGCTGTGTTGAATGAAGTGAAGACACGGTTAAGCCTGCAAACCATCCCCTTTCTTCTCAACCGCCTTTGTTTTTCCCTTCTGGACGATGTGCTGGGCCTCAGCCTCTCCTCCTCCTCTTCTTCCTTCCCCCCCCCCCCCCTTTCCCCCCCCCAGGTGCTGATGAAGTCCTACACCGGCATCGACTACAAAGAATTCTACAACTTCCTGAAGATCATTGCGGAAAATCGCATTTTCGTGCTGGAACACCACCACTCCGAAGACGACGCCTCCAAGCGCTCGTCCAGGGCCGCCCTCTCCAGCCTGGGGATGCTCCACGCGGTGTTCGACCTGAAAAGGACCGCAAAAGTCTTGGGCTCCTTGAACGCCAACGAAGAATTCAAGAAGCTCAAACCCGAGGCCCTCTCGCCGCCCCCGCAGGCTCTCCTGCACCGCCTGAAAGCCGCAATCGACACCGCCCTCCTCTGAAGCCTCCCTGGCGGGAGTTTTTGGTTTGCCAACAGCCTTTCCTTTGCAAGATGGCTGCATGCGAATACCTATCTTCTTCTTTTTTCCCCCCACTCTCAATTGCCCCTTTTAAAAGCTGCTAGCACAAAAATTAATATTGTTGTTATTTTGAGATCAGTGGGAAACGCAGAGGTAAGATAATTTAAAAAGTAAAGGAGTCGCTATAAGTTTTACAGGAACTCCTCGGCTTACGACCACAGCTGAGCCCAAAATTTACCCGGACACTTGTTAAGTGAGTATGGCACCATTTTACAACTTTTGGTTTTGCTCACCCAAAGGTCGCAAAAGGGGAATCAAGTGACCCCGGGAAGCTGTGACCGTCATAGATACGAGTCAGTTGCCATCCTCACGTGACCATGAGGATGCTGCTCATGGTCATAAAAATGGGAAATGTACGACCACAATTGAGCCCAAAATTTCCGTTGCTAAGTGAGACAGATTTTAGGTGACTTTGTCACCATTTTACAATCTTTCTTGGCACCGTTGTTAAGTGAATCCCTGCAGTTGTTAAAGTTAGCAATCCAATTGTTAACTGAACCTGGCCTTCCCCGTTGACTTTACTCATCAGAAGGTCGCAAAAGGGAATCACGGGACCCCAGGACAGAGCGACCGTCGTTAAATACGGGTCAGCTGCCAAGCATCCGAATTTTGATCATGATGCTGCAGTGGGCGTATATGTGGGGGGAAAAACGGCCATAAGCTACTTGAACGGTTGCTAAATGGACCGTTGTAAGTCAGGGACTATCTGTACTCCGCTAGTTGTAGATGAATTTAGGGGGTGAACTAAGGAATTTAAGGGGTGGTGGTAGTAAGGAAACATCGCTTAAAAAGCAAAGACTCAAATTCGAGGGTGGGGGTGGGGGTGGAGTTATAATCCATTTGCTCCCCGAAAAACTCGCTTCCTGCAGAGTAGGACTACAGTATTCTTCAAGTTGCTGCTACTTAACTCAGTTTAAATCTGACCGAATCGAACACGGCAGAACTTAATTCTGAAATAAATATCTATATAGAAGCTTATACTTGATACCCGGCACCTCTGCTTCGTTTGATTCTTTGTGCCGGCGGGAAAGACCCTTAAGGTGGAGCAAACAGGCGAGAAAAGAAAGAAATTGGGAGGGGGGGGAGGTGTTCCACATATTTGTTGCTCGAAGCCGTTTCTTTCCTCGGTTGCCACTGTGTGAATGAATGGCGAGAGAGCAATTGTGGATTTTCAGCTCAGGCACAGCACATCAAATTCTTCAGGGACTGGACGGAGGTTGTGGTGGGTTCTTAGCTGGCTCGAGTTTGGCCGGTGGACAAGGGGCGAGCGCCCACCTTTTCTTACTAAGCCATGCTCGCTTTCTTCCCCTTCAAGGGCTGCTTCGCACTTTGCCTTCCTGCTTTTGATTTCAAGACGCTTTCAGAATCAGCCGGGTGGAGGAGGGGGGGGGGTTATCGGGTGGTTTCCCGCCCACCCACCCCCCTTTCGATTTTTTTAAAACCAAGATATCCTGAAATCCTTCTCAGCGACCTCCAGGCCTGGAGCAGAACCATCCCTGGTGAATTCAAGAGACGAGGAGGACAAAGAACATCGGACCGATGGGTTGCAAGGGACCTTGGAGGTCTTCTAGTCCAACCCTCCCAGGAACAAAAGCTTCGTCTGGAGCAACGAAGGACTTTTATCCGGGACTCGTCATCCTCTCTTCCTCCTTGATCAGATGTGATGGGCGAACATGGAGATTGCTCAAGGGTTTTTTGGGGGGGAGGGGAGGAGGAAAGGGGACCACTTGGAGATTGGAGGAGGAGGAAGTCCTTCAAACAGGGGAAACAGACTAAATCTCCGTGAGTTAACCCACCACAGTTGCCCGGAGGGAGGATGTCACTTTTTTTTTTAAAAAAAGACAGCACAAATTGTAGTGTACATTTTGGGAATGACCCATGGTGTCTTCTGAGCTGGGCGGTTTTCTCTGAGACATTTGATGACCCAACTAGGTAACATCATCGGGGCTAGAAGGAATTGCATAAGAAGGAAGGACGGTGGGGAGGAGGACTGGAATCCTTGGTGCTCTAAGCGTGGTTGTTTTGTTCTAGACATTTCACGAACAAACTAGGTAACGTCGTCAGTGCTGGAAGGGAAAGGGTTGTGTGGAGAAGAGGAAGAGCTGTCTTGAAATATCTGCAAGAAATTCCCCAAGCTCAGAGGACACCAAAGACCCCCACAGACCTCTTCTGTGCAAACCCTCCTTCCTTCTAGCATTGATGATGTTATGTAGTTGGGTCATAAAATGTCTGCAAGAAAGCTCAGATAGCATCTATTGTACAGTTCACCACCTCCACTTCCTTTTCCTACTCCCATCTCCTCCTCTCCACAAACTCCCCTTCCTTCTAGCACTGATGACATTATCTAGTTGGGTCATGAAACGTCTGCGAGAAAACCCACCCAAGACCCCACATTTCAACCCTGAGCATAGTTATAAGAGACAAGCTTCGATGCGACAGCTAAGCCTAACTAGTCCATATGCCATAAGGGCTCAAAACTACTCATAGGATGTCCCTTTGGGGGTGTCCGTAGGAAGCACCCCAACTCTCTTAAGAGGCTTCCTCCTGAATGGGGTCTAGCTGGGATCTGGTCTTCCTCTTAGCTGTAGCCCATTAAATGTCCACTTCGACTTTTCCTGGTGGGGGCCTGTTTTAACCCTCAGCAGAAGTGGACTCAGACATCAACCCCCCCGCCCCCAAGTATTTTGCCAGAGTATCTGGAGATCTTGATAAAATTGCACTTTGAGAAAAAAAGGAGATAATAAATGAATTAAACGTTCTTGGTTTCTCGTCTTTTCAATCAGTCGCTCTTGAGCTGGGGTGAAAATGCTGCAGAGTGAAAAGGTTATATGTAAAACCATGGTTACTCAACCTTGGCAAGCTTAAGATGGGTGGATTTCCAACTCCTGGAATTGCCCTCCCTCTGTCCCATTTTTCAGATTCAGATTTAATTTATTTGCATGCCGCCCTTCTCCGGGAGGGACTCAGGGCGGTGAACAACTCGAAAGGGGAAAAGGGGATACAAACACAATACATATAATTAAAATACACAAAAGTCGTACAGCCATAGAAGTCAAGAGGGGAGGGGAACTCATCAACCCCAGGCCTGCTGGCACAGCCAGGTTTTGACGGCTTTCCGGAAGGCCTGGAGAGGGGTGAGGGTCCGAATCTCCGCGGGGAGTTCGTTCCAAAGGGCCGGAGCTGCCACAGAGAAGGCCCTCCCCCGGGTGGTAGCCAGATGGCATTGGCTGGTAGATGGAACCCGGAGGAGGCCGACTCTGTGCGATTTAACGGGTCTGTGGGAGGTAATTGGCAGCAGGCGGTCTCTCAAGTACCCAGGTCCAATACCATGAAGGGCTTTATAAGTTACGACTAGCACTTTGAAGCGTATCTGGAGACCGATCGGTAACCAGTGCAGCTTGCGGAGGATAGGTGTAACGTGGGTGTACCAAGGTGCACCCACAATCGCTCGCGCGGCTGCATTCTGGACAAGTTGTAGTCTCCGAATACTCTTCAAAGGCTGCCCCATGTAGAGCGCGTTGCAGTAGTCCAGTCTTGAGGTCACGAGGGCATGAGTGACTGTCGCGAGTGCCTCCTGGTTCAGGTAGGGGCGCAACTGGTGCACCAGGTGAACCTGGGCAAATGCCCCCCTGGTCACAGCTGACAGGTGATGTTTTAAGGTCAGCTGTGGGTCCAGGAGGACTCCCAAGTTGTGTGTCCTGTCTGAGGGGCGTAAATTTTCACCCCCCAGCCTGAGTGATGGAATACTGGCCAAATTCTTGGGAGGGAAACGCAACAGCCACTCGGTCTTTCCTCCCTCCTTTCCACTGTTCCCTCCTTACTTCATTCGTAACTCTTTTCTTTCATTTTTTTTCCTACACTCAATTCTGCTTTTCCTTCCTTCCTTTTTCTCCTTTAACACTCACTCCTTTTTAACACTCAGTCCCCCACTTCCTTTTCCTTCCTGTCCCTTTTTCTTTTCTCCTTCCTTCTTACTTTTTGTTTTTTCTTAAATTCAGCTCCCCCCTTTCCCTCCCTCCCTCCTCCTTTCCTTTTCTTCCTCTCTCCCTTCTTTTCTTTCTTCCCTTTTGTTCTTTTCCAGTTAGTTCCTCTTTTCCTTCCCTCCTTCCTTCCTTTTTCCTTACACTCAGTCCCTCCCTTCTGTATAATCTTTCCTCTTTTCCTCCCCTTTCCTTCCCACACAGCAACAATGCCTCCAGAATAAAACGTCACTATACATCAGGTCCTATTGTACTTATCTCAAATTGTGTCCACCGTTTTATCTGATGTATTGCATAGACAAGGTCACGAGTGAGAAAACGTTGGGCAATTTATTAATTTTTGATTTTTATAAAATAAAACCCCAGTCAATAATTCTACAAAAGACCAGAATTTCCTCTGGAGTCAATTAGGAAGAATTAAAAGAGTACGGCTGGCCAATTATCTACCTCGTACTCGAGAGAAGTCAACCAAGCTAAATGCTTGTCAGATTAAACTTGCTCTGTTCCCCAAAACCAAAAGCTTTTTTTAAAAACACAAAAAAACAGAATTTAGCATCCATTAAAAACGTCAGTTGTAGAAAATCTCTTTGCAACTTCATAACTTAAGGTTCCCCCCCCCCTCATTCTTGGTGGATCATTTCAAGATCCTTAACTCCATCCGTAAGATCCCGTTCCTTCCGGTTTAATTTAAGCAGCAAGGGGTGTTAAAATAGGACGTATAAAAAAAGATTTTTGCCCTCAATGGAGTGCAGCTCTCAAGAGAAATGTTTTAAGCTGTTAAAAAGGAAGGGATTTTGCAGATGGACCAGCAGAAACACATCCTCGAGACGTAAGCAGAAGGTAAAGTGCAAAGAACACAGAAAAAAAAACACCACACAGATAGTCCTCGACTTACAACGGTTCTACTAGTGACCTTTCAAAGTTACAATGGCACTGAAAAAATAATCTATGGCTGTTTTTCACAGTTATGACGGTCACAGTGTCACCTTTTGCGACCTGATCAGAAAAGTCAATGGGTGGCATCAGGTTCACTTAATGACTGGGTGACTACCTTAACTCCTACAATGATTCGCTTAACAACTGTGGCAGGAAAGTTCATAAAATGGGGCAAAACTCATTTAACAAATGTCTCACTTAAGAGAGATTTTGGGCTCAATTATGGTTGTAAGTCAATGACTACCTATATTGAATCTCCTTACAGAGGTCCTCACTTAATGACCGTTCCAGTGGACCCTCCTGAGGTCATCCAATCGCACTGCAGGAACTTGGCAACTGGTTTACCTTTAGGAACAGTTACATAATGCAATATAATTAATTATTTTTTAAATATATATATATATTTATTAAATTTACTAAACAATCATTTTCTAAATTTATTGAATTTACTAGGTTTATTTTTTTTAGTCCAAATTTTGGAATTTATTTCCTTATTATGTTTTATCTACCAAGTTTATTTATTGAACGCATTGACTTCTATTAAATTTTATTTGTTGAATTTTTATTTTCGGTGAGTTAAGTGCAGCTGTCCAATTAATACCACGGTCGTTAAGCGAATACAGCTTCCCCATCTACTGTGCTTGTCAGAAAGTCGCAAAAGGGGGTCATGCAACACACTCCCCCCCCCCAGGACACTGCCACCGTCATAAATATGAGACAGTTGCCGAGCATTCTGATTTTTGATCACACGATCCCAGGGGTGCTGCAGCAGCTGTATAGGAAGTTAGCACCCACTCTTCTAGAGGAATTAAAATACTTTGAGAAATATTTTTAAAAAGCAGAATATTATATTTCCCTAAATGAGAAGTGGAGAAACATGTTTTTTTTTCCTTAAAAGACAGAAAGCAGACTCAATCTCCCTCCCCCCCCTCCAGCAGATATTTTTGTGCCCATTGGAAAAGATTGAGCCAGCCTTTCTACAGGTGGCACTTGGAGCCATATCGGTGGGCACGCGAGCTCAGCTCTGATTTTCTGGCCTTCTGGGCCCACCAGAAGTCGGGAAACAGGCTGTCTTTGGC